AAGCTTTTTTTTTTCTTTCAGAACTGCATAATTCTTCATGGCACTGATTCAACAATGTCTATACTGATATAATAGCACCACACAGTCACTGCAGAGTTATTGTTTTATCTCCACATCCTTGATGAAATCTCTCATTCCACTAAATCCCAAAGGTGCTCTATTGGATTTAGATCTGGTGACCGTGAAAGATATTTGAGTATAGTGAACTCATTGTCATGTTCAAAGAGCAGTTTGAGATTATTTAGGCTTTCTGACATGATGCTTTATCCTGCTGGAAGTAGCTATTACAAAATGTGGTCATTAAGGGATGGACATGGTCAGCAACAGTGCTCAGGTAGGCTGGGAAGTTTAAACAATGCTACCATCGAGTCCAAATTGTGCCTAAAATCTCCACCGTTTGTATGTTTTCATCTTGTTTACACCAAATTATGATAGCAACATCTGGATGAAACTCATATTCATCTTCTTTTGACCAATTTTGAGCAAACTGAAGACTCTACGTCTCTTTTAAGGGACTGTTTCTTATGGATTTATTAATCATTCTTACTGTTCAGTGAACGCAAACTGTCATAGTTTATTGAAGATGCAAACCCATTACTGCACGTCAGCTGCCACCTTCAGCAAACCTAATACGTGCAGCACGATGACTTTCATGAACATTTATGAGCGTCAAAAGTGGTGGATTTGTTCATCAAAAGATTTCACTGTGTGTCACTGCATATCAAATGACGTAAAATAATACAAAGCTATAGAACTAAAGCATTCTCCATTGTACAGAGTGAGAGCGCTTCTCTTCTTTTAAACTGAACAGTCGTATCATCAATGACATAAGCGTGCTCGGGCAATGTGAGTCTGGGTTGAGGGAGAGAGGGGAGGTGGGACAACCGCACCTGAGCACAGTTCAAGACCCTTAGAGATGCTCTTCTGCAGACTTCAGATGTAACAACTAGATTTATGAGTTTGTGTCACTTATTTATCATCTCCAGCCAGTCTGATCATTCTCTTCTGAACGATAGGATCAAGATATCTTATTCCACAGAACTGCCACCAACTGGGTATTGTCTGTTTTTTAACCATTTTCTATATAATAAACACTAGAGATCCGCAGTTTCTGAATTACAACATGCATCGTACAATGTTGATTAAATCTACTTTCTCTCCAATCTTCTTGACCATGTTTACATACCCAAATGCATTGAGTTGCCCGTCATGTGATTGGTTACCCAGCTAACAGGGAACATTCTAACAACATTCCATAATGTTCATTGAAAGTTGTGTAAATGTTAGCACATAACGGTATTAAACTGTTTTTTGTTATTCGAACATTAAAATATAATGTGGATGAAATCCAATGTTATAATGACATTTTTAAATAACCTACTAAGAACATTAATATAACGTGACTGAAATGTATTGAATAACATTATTATTAGTGGTGTAACAGATCACTAATCTCACGGTTCACATCACATTATTGTTTTTTAGACACGGATCGGACCATTTTACAGATCAGCCAAAAAAGGGAGGAGACAAGTGTCATTTTTTTCCCATTTATTATGAAAACAGCACTGCAAGACACTTTTGGTTTTAACAAACAGAACCTAGAACCTGTCATTTTATTAAACATAAAATTAAGAAAAAGTAAATTTAACTTAATTTATAAATTTAACATTATAATTTGTACAGCCTGTATTTATTTTTAGTCTCATTTTCAATAAATGATTCAGTTCTTCACTTGTAAAACGTCATGTTTCATTGCTAGATGATCGTTTTGGAATAATTATTCAGTGGCATATTTTTGACGGCTGGTTGTCCCTACCTGTTGGTTAAAAAATGTAATTGCTGCCTACACTTTCATTTTTGAACATCAAGTTAAATACATATGGTGGTGATTTTAATCTTTACCATAAACATCAGTGATTATATCTAAACTCTAATCTGTTATCCAGTACTTCTGTGTTATTTGACTGTTTGTAACTTCATAACTAGGCCCACACAGAATCTGCGCACGCAGAAATCTACAGAATTGTAGCCCATCATTGAGTCTATGTATCTACTTGTGTAAAATGACAGTTATTGTTTTTTTAAATTATTAATTTCACTAATATTATTGTGATATAATAATAGTAATATTAAAATAGTCATATGATTTGTTTACAATAGAGTTTGTAAAGTAAAATTTTCTGTCTTTTAGTAGATATATTATGAGAAACTTGTCTTGTTTACCAAATAAAATAAGTGGATCTAATTGGATTTGCATTGTAAACATTGTATACAAGTTAAAAATGTATTTTTTTTTATTTCATACATTTAGTTTTTAGTTGATACTCCTAAAATCATTCCATGTAAATCCACAGATGTTTTACAAATTTTTTTTGCAGAAATAGAAAGAAATGTCTGCAGATTCTGTCTGGCCAAACTCATGACTAACTCCAAATACTAAAGACTGAATCTCTCTTGATTTTTACTTTTTTTAGATTTGAGTGCAGTGATTTGAAGTATTAATAAACATATGCAAATCACCATCATTTATAATTTATGTTGCATGATTGTTGAGATCCCAATCTTTTATTGATTAATCATGTAGCTTACACTAAATGTTAATGGCTGAACAAGTAGTGACCGAAAACACCTTTAATAATCTAAGAAACCCACCACATCCCGAATAACCTACCACAACTTCTTCCGTCATGGTTATATTTTACCAGAAAGCCTAAATGCTTTCATACATGTGATTTGAATGACACAAGAGGCAATCATTCTTGCCATCCTTACAAATTTAGTAAAGTAAAATAAAGTATTAATCCGCAGGTCATGTGTGTATCGGAACCGTAGGTTGTGATCTGTATGAATTACATTACACCATTAATTATTATAACCAAAATGTAACGTCAAAACCTCATCAAAATGCAAGGAAAAAGAATTATTTAACTTAATGGGAACATTAAGGGAACGTTTAAAGAACCTACAGTTGTTAGCTGAGTAACTTTGTGAAATCATTTCCATGTTAAGCATCTAACCATAGTTTTGGCTGAATGTTTTGATTTAATGTGTCTTTGCAGGGTGCCAGCTTCTTTCCCGACTCTTCAGGCTTGTCTGACGATTCCCAGTCTGGAGCCAGTCACATGTGGCCAAATATGATCCCTCCTCGTTATTCTCCTCCTTATTACCCACCCGACGAGAAGCCCCCGCCATACAGCCCTTAAGGGGACCAGTCTGACCAAGACATTTTCCTGTCGAGACGGAAGTGGCAGTGGGCATTTTTTGATATTAGTGTTCAACGTCATTCTCCTGAATGCAGCGGAGGCTCACCCGAGCGGCAGGCTAAGTATAGAGAGACCACAGCATTAACCACAGGCATTCGTCATCAAATACAGCAGATGTAATATGCAACATTAATCCTTGACAAGATTTGCTCAAGCCAACAAACCCGATTGTGTAAAATATCCATGATATATAGCCTCAATGCAAGAGGACGACGTGTAGTAACGGACTACGAGACTGTTCACAGATAAGCCTTAAAACGTGCGTCCGCTTCCAGTACAGCTCCTGTTATTGGTACCGTCTGTGGGTCTCCTACTTGTGATTTCCTCCATCACACGAACCTTTCTCCCTTCCAAAGTGGCACAAAAGTGTTTTGTCGTGGCCTCTGCTCTCTCGGCACGAGGATGAGTCTCATATCTTATATCTTGCAATTGATTTGCACTTTATTGTCTTCAGAATCTACTGTATTCACACAGTTCTAGAAATTTTAGAGTTATTTTTAACTGTTTCAGGCAGCTAGATTGCAAAGAACTGTACATACGTTTAGGCTGAAACTGATTTTCTTTTCCTTCTCCTGAGCGCTTTGGTAGGATCTACGAGCTCTCCCGTAACATGTGCATCACAATCTTGTCACAGATTCGTCTTCTGTGACAACATCTTTGCTTGACTTACGCAAAGTAATAACCTCCACGAGAGGATTTTCGACTTGTACATCTTGCATTTATCAGCAATTTTGTGTCGTTTCTGTCTTAAAGTGACAGGACTTATCGAATGTAAAAAAGGAGGCTTAGCTTTATTAGTAACCGTTATGGATTTTAACACTTAATTGTTCAATGCGTAATAGTAATAACACAACATCTTTCCACGTTGCAAATATGATATCAATGTGCAATGCTGTACATATACTGAACAATCAAACTGCCTTCTAGTAACACAACACAACTGAGTCTTAAGACTTGTAGTGTTTTCCTCTTTTGTCTGTTAGTGCGTTCACTGTGAATGTCAAGTCACTGTACTTTTCGTGCTCGATTTATATCAACAACAGTGTCCTTTACTGGAGTGAAGTAGAGATTTTACAACAAATTCAATTGTTTGGATGACTTCTGGATGCAGCTGGTAAAAACCCTAGTCACATGCTACTAGTATAATGAAAGATCTTTCCCCTCGATTGTTCGTTTTGGAGCATTTTCATGTGACATTGTTTACCTTCAATGTTGAAAATCTTCAAATGAAGACTGATGTAGACTTTTTATTTTTAGCTTCGTTATCTTTTATCCTGCGTCATGCGGAAGCTGCACATTGCAGATTATGTTCATATAATAACATTCGCTGACCGCTATACAGAGACAGGAATGCTCATAACATTGACTGGTCGTTATCATACGTTCATGATGCTCTTGGAAATAAAAGAAATACATGTGTACTTTCTTCAAAGTTTTATTTCATTCTATACCGCACTGAGACCTAATAATAAATAGGTTACAAAATGGAAGAAACTGGTAAGACGAAGGTCTGTAGTACTATGTACATGATTATTGTTGCTATTGTTAGTTTTGACTCTCGCTGTATTCACAGATTCTTCTCGCAGCAGACAAAGCTAAACTACCTGATAAATCTATGCTAAAAAAATAATCATTTTTTTAAAAAACAGAGTATGTACAAAATATTCGACTGGAGAAGGAGAGTTCCTGTGTGTTATTCTTTACAGTTTTTTGAAAGAGCGTTTCTCTTCACGTCACAGAGTTCATATTGTCCGGGAAAACAGGATATATGGCCAGCATATACATACAGATAATTCATGAACAGGTGATGTTTTACATACTTACTCCATCCATCTTAAATCCTGCTGACAATCAACTTAGTGACTATAAATACAAACATTCAAGGGCTTGTCATTAACACTGATCTATCTAGTGCCGAACAATCAACTACAAAAACACGATGTGACAATTAAAATGTTAGCATCTTATTAAAATGGGAAAATAATTGTAGTATGACTTCACTGATACATCTGATGGTGGATTTACGTAACATTCCCAAACAGCACTTACACATTAAAGTTATGTAACTGTAAAAAATAAGCATAACAAATTGCAGCCTGTTCTTGATCCCGAATAATTACATCCAGTGTGGTTGGACAGTCTGGAAAAATAAAATGGAATCGAAAATATTAAAGGTCAGCGCTACACAGATCTAATGCAGCCTTACATAAAATATGTATAATCTACTTAGTCGTATTATCTGACGAAGCATTATTAAGATTCAATAATGGACTGTGAAACTCAACTGTAATCCAACGCTAAGTAATACATGATGCTAAATACACATTAAAGCACCCTAAAACAGCTTTCACAGAGTGAATGGAGTTGAGTTTTTGAAATGAATGGTCCAGAGAACCATATGGAGGCTTGTTTCTGCCACAGAATAAAAAATATATAGTAAACAAAAGAGAACTTAAACCTCTCATTTTACAATTCTGACTTTCTTCTTGCATTAAACTCAGACTTTTCATAAATATGAGTTTACAGTATATTGTTATGTTTTAATATCTTGCAATAGTGTGTGTGTGTGTGTGTATATATATATATATATATATATATATATATATATATATATATATATATATATATGCATACAATAGTTCTGTCTGGCTGATAGCCGTGCAATATTCTGCAAATAACAGCACTCGTCCAGCCTCTTTACCCTTCAAAGTTGTTTTACTCCACCCACATCCAGCGACAGGCAGAGGACGCTCTACAGTTTGACAAATATTGATGCTATTGGGCAACATAATGTATTTTTGAGGCTTCATTAGTCAAGAATGTAGTTGTTTAAATTGCAACTATGCAGTTTATTTATAAGGATAGTGCCTATTTTAAAATATTTATAATTTTGGAGATTCTGTGCATCGGACGCCATCACCCTGTCATACTGAACAGACCAAAGAAAGTGACGATTGATGTTCCACCACATGATGGCGACAGAGACCACATAATAAGTCTTTAGAGGGAGAAAAACTCAGCATCAGCTGAAGAAATCGTTATAAATCAGGTAAGTGACATTCTGAGTCAATCGCTCCCTTTTGTATTTTGTAGTGCTGTATTTATACTACAGAAACTGGAAGTGTTTGTTTTGCTTTGGCTTTTATGGTGTTAATTGGTGATATCCTGATTACAACAGAGAAATACTGGGAAATCTCTGTAGACTGACAGCATTTCATGCCGTTCAGCCTTATAATCTTAAAATGTGAGCAAAAATCTGCAGTTTTGTCATCACTTTAGACATTACGCTAGAGAATCATTCAAATACTAGCTCTAAAGTGACGTTTGTGAAGTAGCAACAGTTTCTGCTGTTCCGATGTCAGCTGTAGATGTGAATAAGTGGTGGAAAAACGTAGTTCCTCATACAAAAGGGTTTTTGAGTCTCCATGTTTGATTTTCTTTTTTTATATACACGATTTTGCCTTTGAACTGTTGTATAAACGCAATATCACACCCATAGCGGTGCCAACACATGCCTCTCACCAGCACCGATATATACAGCCATAAAGCACTGCTACTCATGTGATATTGCTCATATATATCACATTCTATGTTTATATATTATCTCAGAAATACACACTCACAATTGTGAGAAATAAAAGTCCTACTTTTGAGAAAGAGTTCTGTTTATATCAGAAGTCAAGATAGAACTTTTTATCATGCAATTCATACTTTTTTTCATCAGAACTGTCAGTCTTTATCAAAGTTTATGTTCATATCACAATTTCAAGATATAATTTTACAGTTCAGAAAATATGTACAAATTGGTTGCATTTCTAACCCAGTTCTGAGGAAAAAAGGCCAAATGTTGAGAAGTCTTTAATTCAGAAAATTGCAAGAAATTTTCTTTTTTTTATTACTCATATTTTTATAATTGTGACTTTTTCTGATCAGAATTGTGAGATTGTATTAAAATAATGAGATATAGACTTGCAATTGCAATAAATAACAAAATTATTGTCTAAAAACTATATAAAATTATTATAACAAAAAAGTCATAAGCCTTGTCCCAATTTGGAATAAAAAAGTCAGAATTGTGAGATACAAATTATTTCCTGCAATTCTGAGTTATTTTCTTGCTATTCTTCTCCCTCAGAAATTCAGACTTTTAAGGTAAACAAAAATTCTATATAATCAAATACAAACTCGAAATTGTACAAGAAAATTTTCAGAAAGAGTCAGTCACTTCATCACTAGTTTATCCAGCTACAGAAACAGGCCTCCACAGAAGAGCAACAACAACCTGTCTTTCAAATAAAACACAAAGAAATGAAGAAGGCACCTGAGCCAGATCGCTGAGCAAGTGTGCTCAGTATGTCTCTGGTATAACAAACTCAAATTCATTCCTGGCCGGGGCATTTATTTGGTCGACAGGCTGTGGAGGTGGAGCAGGGCGAGCATTTTGTCCTTCCGATTCTACAAAGATGTCATCCCAGTTCAGTGCTTTGCTTTGGTTAGATGGAAGTGGCTGGTTGGTACAGTGCTCCTTTTCCGAGTTTACGTATTGGATTGTCCCGTCTTCACCAATCACCGGACTTCCCCCTGACTCGTCAGAAACAAACGAATATGGTTTGAACTGCACCGTTTTACAAGGCAGCAGCCGATACAAGTTGTTGGCCGAGTCGTCTTTCTCTTTCCTTCCAGAAGGGTCTTGGTTGTGCGCTTGCTTGCAGTGGGTGGACAAAATCTGATAATTGAGAAACATCTCGTTGCACAGTAAACACTGGTACCGCCGTTCCCCCGTGTGACTGATTTCGTGTTTGGTTCTGTACTCGGCCAGGGCGAATACCTTGTTGCAGTAATGGCACGGATACTTTCGCTCCCAAGAATGAGTGTTAAAGTGCCGTCTAAGGCTCGTCAGGCAAACGTACGGGCGTTTACAAACAATGCACACGAAAAATGTCTTTCCGTCCATGATAATTTCATAGTGATCCTCCTGATCTGGCTTGAATTTCTTCTTTGATTTTGGTGAGAGACTGGCTGTGTTGGGAGAGTCGGGTTGTATTTGGGACTTGCAACCTGGAGCTGCTCCCTCCCCGGGATCGTCTTTGACAGGAACGATGTCGTAGGTGTTTTCACCTATGTTGGCATACACTTTACAACCTGGCGATAGAGAATCAATTTCCGAGGCTTTGTCTAATGTTATTGTCTTCTTCACCGAAAGTGCTGGGATTACGTTGGTTGGTCCGTTACTGCTACTACATGATGACCTTACATCCGACAGTGTGATCTTCCCAGGATGATCAGGGGAGTGCTCTAGCAGGACCTTTTTCTTTTGGACACCGAGGACTTCGATGTTGTCTGAAGGCAGCGAGACGTTTTGAGGATCTGAAGGGACGCTGTCTGGACAGGCTGGGGGTTTGGGATTGCTATTTGAGCCTGTTCCTACTGGTGAAGTGAGAATACTGCTACTGTTTTCAGTACTTGAAAGGATCACAACGTCTGGATCAAGGTTATTTTGGAGTGATGCGTTTCTTTCTGACGATTTCTTTTCTTGGGGTATTGAGCTTTTAGAGGCGACTCCTTCCTCATTTGTGACTTTCTGTTTTTTAGTTTCTGGTGCTCCTTCGATATTTTTATGAACATCTGATATTTTAGTCTTTTGAGCTTGCGGGGCTTCAGTTTTTGACACAAACAGGACATCATCGCTGTCTGAGTCCTCTTTTTCTGTATTTGCACCAGTCATGTTGAACTCCTCGGCAGACAGTGAGAAGGTCTCAGTAATGATGGGCATATTCACTCCTCCATCCTCAGGTTTCTCTGGAGAGCTGACAATGTTGTTGTCGCCATCTTTGGACAGGCCGGGTAATCCCTTGACTTGTGCTAGCGGGATCGCTAAATTAGCTATGAACGTCACACCCAGAATTTGACCGGCGTTAATTAGGTCTTCAAGTCTGTCCGATCGAACTCTGAACATTTGAGAAGTGTAAATGTAATTAAGGACCATGTCGAATATGTCTGCCTTTATGAAGTTCAGCTCTACAACTTTTCCAGCGACGGAAAACAGTTGTCGGAAGTAGGTGCTTGAGGCAGACAGGACACATTTGTGTGCCCTGAACTTGCGGTCTTGCACGACTATGGTGACATCACAGAATAAACCGTTGTGGCGCTCATCGTTGATGTTCTTCAACAGTGATCCTGGATACTGAGTGTCCACTACTGATATCAGCTTCAGTTTCGACATGCCTGTGGGGGGAAGAGTAAGTATAATAAAGTAATATGTACTTTCATTTATTTAACTTAGACGTGCAGATATTCGAGACAACAACAATACACCCATGGGAATAATATTGCAAAATACTATTGCTCATATTACAATGCTCTCCACTAGGGCAGTGCGACTTGGGGAAAATATTTAATTGCAATTTTTTTTACCAAAATTGCAATTTCGATTTGATTTGCAATTTAATTTTGAAGTCAAGCTTCAGCTCAATATTCTGTATCGTAACTTCTTACTGCTAAAATGCAGTGAGTGTTAGTTAAAAAAAGGAACTGAAAAGATATTAACTTACTTAAACATTTATTCAAATGTGTTGTTAAATATTCAGAAATTGAACACTCATCTTTCTCTAGAGCAAACAGTAAACACAAATAAAATAACTTTTCCTTTCTGTAAAAAAGGGAGAAAGTGTAGCTTATACAAACAAAAAAATAATAATTATAAAAATACAGAACACTCAGCAAACTAATATGGCTAATATAAGAGCTTTTCTGTAGCTTATATTGTCTAAAACAAAACAATTATCCCAGATGCTACACAAAATATGATGACGTTGAATGTACAGCTGTGGTACTCCAAAATGGCTAAAATAGGTGCGAGACAGAAGTGTCTATTTCCTATCCTGCATTTAGATTAGTTTTTTTAATCTGTCTTTGATCACTCCATTGAAAGGCACCGTGTCTTTAGCGAGGTAGTGCATTATGTGAATGCAAGCAAAATACACATGAAGTTATCAAAACATTAAACCTGAATTTTTTGTGACTTTGAAACCAAAATATTTCCATATTACTGATGTCCTGTTTTTCTTTGATATTAATTTTCTTCTGAAGCGGCAGACCCCATCATCCCACTCATCCACACTTTCCTGTTTGTTTGGGGTTTTTTGTGGGCGTTCCACATAGTTTGGTTGCCGGCTTGCCGCCCAGGTATATTAACGACTGCCCAAGTATATTTGGTGGTCACACATGATTAATACAATTATTATCATCCGTTAACACTTTTCATCTATTTTCCCAAAAAACTCAAACATTTGCGATCGATTAACCAGTGGAAAATCTTCTCTCGCTCTGCATGTTTCTGCCTGGCTTTTGCTTTCATTTTCTAAAGTTGCTGTTATTATTATGTATTTTTGCATTACCCTCTCACAGCTGATTTTGCACGCACAGCCACGAGAAATAAATTAAATGATTAATTATTTAATTAAGGCCTCAGATAAACTTTACTATATTTTTGGAAAGAACAAACTGACATCTATACTGGCCGCAAAACATTTTTATACACCATTAGACATGGTTAATTAACTAGTTTGCCTTATTTACACAATCTGCACTTTTTATTCGTGTAATTATTATAATTTTTGCAATATTGTATATTTTCATTCATTTTTTCTGTTTTTTATTTCTTATTTGCTGTATATTTTATTAATTTAATGATGTTAATATATTGCAAACTTTATACACATCTAAAATGCTTTGGCAATACTGTTCAAAATATCATGCCAATAAAGCAACTTTAGAGAGAGAGAGAGAGAGAGAGAGAGAGAGAGAGAGAGAGTGCACATGGCTCCTAAATAGCATAAAAGTAAGAAAAAAGTGGATTTCTTTTATTTCAATGGTCTGTTTTAATAACTTTAACCCATTGAAAAGAAAAGATGTCGTAATACAAAAAATTGCAGTGTCTTAATAAATAAACATTTGATTAAAAATTAAATTTTTTTTTTGTTTGTTGCATGTAGTTGACCATTTCTGCTTTGGGTAAAAATTGTGTTTCATTCCGGCTACCACCACAATTATTTTTTACACTTGTGGAAAGCACTGTATTATGAATTATTATTTTCAGAATGCTTTTGAAGAGCGTAAGATTATTGTATTATTACAGCACCAAATGCTTAAAGCCTAAGCTTTTAGTTGCAAACATAAACATGTAAATCACGTCAATCTGGCCTTCAACATGACATTTACAGAATATGAAGTTTAGATTCATAAAACCTCTTAATGTGGCTTGATATTTTCTTCTAACTCTTGTGTGTAGGCTCAAAAATATACTTCTATAGTGTTGAATAAGTTCTTTCCATAGTTCTTTCCATTGCCTTCAACGTAACATAAACATAGGAGGCTAAAAAAATGCCATATTTAGGAGATTTCAGATGGCATATAGAGGTTTTTGCATCTGAACTCTTCATATGTTCTTCATAGTCTTTAAAGGCCTGTCACTTGTCAACACTCTAGTTGTTGTCTAGTTGTAAACTTAATTGATGATGAAAGCTACCTGTAGATCATTTATTAAATTTTAATTCATAGATTTCTTAGTTTAATTCATAGATTTCAAGTATTTCTTAGAATTCTTAGTATAATAATAAAATTTAATATGCCTAGTTTAAACATTTACAATTAAAGCAAGATTAATTTTTTTACAGAGCAAGTACTTAATTAACTAAATGTATTTACTATTTGGTTAACCTCAGGATGAGAACTAACATGTAATAATGCATAATTTATTGTTATAACACTACTATCTACAGAACACGTGTAACAAACAATGTTACAACGCAAAATACAATTTTAAAACAGTAAACAACACCCGTACTACTTTCAATTAAGAAAGAGCTCTACTTACAGACATATTTTACTGTATAGCAATTAAAAAATAAACCATATTTGTATTATATTTTCTTTCAAGTCAAACATTCTACCGATATTTTCTTCTAAATTCAAAGCAACACACTTTAGCATCTGCATATGCACGCTAGCTGGCTAATTGTACAGCAACAAAAGACATGCACACAGACACATGCGGCTTAAAAAGTAATATTAAACTAATGTTAGGTCTAGTTTGGCGTGCCTAAATAAAATACTATTGCGGTGAAACTGGCGCGATCACAGTGTGAAGTGGTGGACAGCGGTCAAAGTGAAAACAAAAACAAATGGCTCAATTCACTCTCCTTCCTGGTTTGGCGGCAGCGCGCGGCCTATCTAGTTATGTGATGCGCCGCAACGCGTATGTGAGCCTATAAAATCAGAATTAAAGTTTTAATCTCTCTCGTTAACAGAAATGCATGCCCAAAATAGTATACCTGCAGAGCGACCCGTACAAATCCACAAGTCGCTTCACTAAGGATCAATATCTGCAGAGACAACGTGTTTCTGTTGCCGTGGAGAAAACAACGAGCTCGAGTTCCTTGTGCGAGTCTCGGGCACGCGCCTCTGCCAGCCGACCGGTGGCGCGCATGACATTCTGACAGACGTGTGAGGAATGATAATGAGCCCAGAAGAGACTATTGAAAATGTACTTAGATCTATTACAAGTATAAATATATGCTTAGAGAAAACAAATACACAATGCACTGCTATAAAACCGTTTAAAATAAATAAAAATAAAGCATTCAGATATTCTAAATTTCTTATAATATTTTACTCATTTAAAAACACATTCCCTTTTCATGTCTTATCCGTGAAAAAGAAATCTGTTTTATAAATGAAGAACATTTAAACAAGTTTTTTTTCTTATTAATATTTACCCTCATTATAAATCTGAGTCACTTATGAAAGATGCAAACTTAATAGTTGTTTGGAATTACCACTTTATAATTATTGTTTATATACATACACACACACACACACACACACACACACACACACACACACACACACACACACACACACACACACACACACACATATATATATATATATATATATATATATATATATATATATATATATATATATATATATATTCACACACACAAAATACAAAATAATAGTGAAATAATAAATAAAACAAAATTATAACCAAAGCATATAAAAGCTGGAAAGAAACGACTAAAAACTCAACTATTTAGTCTCCACTTCACTTCCTAATCTGCAATTGCCTATTTGAATATCACACTAACTGTACAAAAAAAAAAAAAAAAAAAAAATTACTAACACTTCCCTTCTTAGACTTTACAGACCTGAAACTTGCCTATAGCACTTATTCATTGTTGCTCTTAGTTGTGTAAATTGCTTCCTTGTCCTCATTTGTAAGTCGCTTTGGATAAAAGCGTCTGCTAAATGACTAAATGTAAATGTAAATGTAAATGTAATGTAAATGGAAAGTGCTTACAACACTACAGATCAGAGGTCCCCAAAACTAAAGTTGACTAAAGTTGGCCTGTTGTAACTTCTGATTTGGCCCAACATCCCATCTGAGAAGAGAGTGAGGATGATGGAGAGGGTTGGGGTTTTATTGCTGAGCCACAAAAAAGCAGACTGGAATTTAATGTTTTAAATTAAATATTGTAAATGAATCAAAGGTTTTAAAACGTAAATACTGTCACTCGACAAATAGAGGACTATGCAGAAGACCTCGGCGAGCAAATCAAGGCAAAAACTAGAGTAACTCCATTCTGTTATAGATTAGATTGTTTTAGTTTTTACTTTAATAAGCTAATTTTAAAATGTATAGGATATATATACTGCTTTAGTTAATATAAAACAACGTTTTGTAGTTATTTTTAAATATTATTAAATAAATTATGAAATTACTCATGGTAACTATAATTACCTTTAGCCCACTCCTCACTTAAAATAGTAGGTTTAAAAATACCCCAACATATACCCCAACCATAGGTTATTGTAGCACCTACGCAACTATGGGTTATTTGAACTTAAATGATTTAACCCAATGAATTGGGTTATTTTGATTAAATGTTATTTGTTTCATTGTGGTATTACTTTTGCTACTATTATTAGTTCTACTATTATTTTATAATTATGGCTGAGTAAATAAATAACATTACGCACCCATATTAATACAGCTGTTTGGTGACAGTTAAATCAGTTAGCTGGTAAAATTAAAAATTTTCCAAAAATTCAAAATAACCCAATAAATGTTCAAAATAACCCAAGAAAGCGAAAGATATTTAACCCAACTGGTTAAGTCATTAATAAATAACCCAATAAAGGTTAGAATTAACCCAACATAGCAACAAATATTTTTTTACTTAACCATTCGGTTAAATAAATAGCTTAACGTTTTCTTGGAGTGTAGCCTTCATAAAGTTTGGTTTTTGGCCCTTCAAAGTTTGGGCACCCCTGCTATAGATTAAAGGAGAGCTTCTGATTCTCAGGATAGCTTTTAGGTTTTGAGTTAAAATTCTAGATTATAAAATGCTTAAATTTACTCTAAAATTGTGACACACGGTAGCTTCTGGAATGGTATTGTCTGTACAAAAAAATACAGATTAATTCTGCTCAGAGGTTGAATAAATACCTTTACACAGCAATTACCGCATTCCAGCTGCAACCCAGTACTGAGAGAAACATCCATAACGTTACACACTCATTTACAGATATACACTACGGACTATTTCATTCATTCATTAATTTTCTTCGCGGCTTAGTCTATTTGTTAATCAGGGGTCGCCACAGCGTAATGAACCGCCAACTTATCCAGCATATGTTTTATGCAGCGGATGCCCTTCCAGCTGCAACCCAGCACTGAGAAACACCCATACACTCTCATTCACACACATACACTACTACCAATTTAGTTTATTCAGCTTGGACTGTGGGGGAAACCCACTCGAACTCGGTGGAAACATGCAAACTCAGAACATAGAAATGCCAACTGACCCAGCAAAAAGGTTAAAAACACCAAAGAAATTTCGTTTCCTAAATAAAAAGTATGCAATTTTCACAAATTTTTATTCTCTTTCAAAAGGCACTCGCCAAAAAAGATTGAAGTGCCTTTTTGGTGTCAAAATAAAAGGTTTAATGTCTTCCATGTCACCAGGGGGCGATATTGAGCGTGCTTCACGCCAATGAGATGTACGTCACATTAGAAGAATTTAGCGTAGCGGAAACATAAACACAAGCAGGCTAAAGTTCAGCGTTGCTAGTGTGTATGTTTTGCGTTTAAGTTGTGTTTAGGTTTCTCGGTGAGTCTCAACACATTCATAATATTCCTAACTAAGTATTTTGTCGCAGTGCTAAAAGTGATTTAAAACCGCTGTTTGCTAACGTACATATCTAGCTGGATTAGCTTGGCTCGTTCTTGGTGAACTGCGACATGACTAGCAAAACGTAACCAATACGTCCCTTTTAACAGAACAAAATAAGGGAATCAAAGACGTCGTTATAGTGTAGTAATGCCTGAGCTAGACGTGAAGCATTCAGGCTCTGTGAGCCCGAGGAGACGCAGACACAGCCGCTCCAGCAGCCGATCCCCGGACCGAGCACTGAAGAACCACAGACACAACCATGAAGACGAGCACAAATCACGACACGGCGACAAAGACCGCAGCAGAAACCGCTTCCGAATGGCGTATTCCCGCAGTCGCTCGAGGTCAAGGGAAAGGGACCGACAGACCTGGTCGGACAGAGATCACGGATTCTCCGATTACTATGAAAAAAGAGACGACGCTCAACGACAGAGACAAGAAGCCTTCATCGCGAGGTCAGAGAGACTCTCATTATACTTTTTCTAAAAGTAAATGTTAACAGCAGGAAAATATCCTCGGTTTACACCTTAAAGGGTTCCATAGGATGCTCACATATGTCCTCACCGTTTATTGACACTCACGTGGTGCTGATATTTTATAAATTTCCTTCTGTTAAACACAAAACTACATATTATGAAGAAAGCGGGCAAAATTCAGCCATTCACATCCATAGTATGAACAGAAGTTGTTCTATTCAAGTGAATGACATGTTTTCCAGCATTTATCAGTATAATATTTTTGTGTTTAACAGGAGAAACTCTGGTTTCTTCTAGAGCAGTGGTTCTCAAACTGTGGTACATGTACCACTAGTGGTACGCGGGCTTCCTTCTAGTGGTACGCGGAGGAATGAAATATGTCATGTACATGCCACATATTTCAAAATTTATCAAAAATTATGTATATAATATGCCATACATGACATTTAGCCTACATTTCTAAGTTTATCTGCCATGTTTTTTTTACCTGTGCAGAGTTGTAGCTGCTTTACTGGACCTACTACGCTACAGTATTTCAATACTGCTCATTTTGGTGGTACTTTGGAGAGACAATTTTTTTCTGAGGTGGTACTTGATGAAAAAAGATTGTGAACCACTGTTCTAGAGGAAGATAATTAAATGATGACAGAATTATCATTTTTACGGTGAACTATTGCCTTAAATGTCACACCACTTTTTTCAGCTCACAACTTAACAGTTAAAAGTACTATATGATGTGATTTGATATGGTTTGTCAAGGAAAGTTCAGGTTTAGACCAAAAAAAATTAAACGGACATGGTGACAGTTAAGGAGTTAAATTTGAGGATGCACATTTAAGCATGACTTCTGTTTTTCTTTAAGGCGTCTGCAGGAACGAGAGAGAATTGGTGAAATCGGATGTCCAGAGGTTTGGGGATACTCTCCAAGAGTCAGAGAACCTGAGTGAGTACATATTCAATACAACACAGACAAGTTTGCATCCACCTAAATTATGCACATTTTATGATATTACATTATAAAGTGCTGTGTGATGAGCATAACAATTTTGTCTGCTCAATTGTATTGTATATTCTACGATGGAAAGACATTTGCTGGTAGATGATGTGACTATATGACAAATCAGTCAACCAATCACATCTTATGCCATCTCAAATGTGGGTTTATTAATTGTGGAAACACCTGAGTAAAAGGCCAGCCTTAAGGTAATTTTCTAGTTACTCCGTAGAAGACAATCAGTTTCACAAACATCTGACTGAGGCTCAAGTTATCTAATATCTATAAGTAAAGAATCTCAGTGGCTTTTCCTATTAAAGCAACTTCAGCTTTTGTTACTGATTAAGAATATTTATCATGAATTTACTATTTTCTTTCCTCCAACTTTACTTGTCAAACACAATAGTAAGAATTGACCCTGGTCTGTTTACAATAATAAATGGATAATACTGAAAACCTAGTAATGTTTTCATCTGCTTTCTTGTAATAGTTCAGATGAACACACTCCTGTAGAAGAGGACGTGAAGAACAGCAGCTCTGATTCAAGTTCAGAGGGTAAATGATTCTTTAATATCTTAGTGCTTGAAAACATGAAATTGAAGGTTTTTAATAAACATTATCAATGGCTGCTATCGTGTTCACAGAGGAAAAGAAGAAAAAGAAAAAGAAGAAAAAAAAGAAGTCCAAGAAGAGGAAAAACAGGAAGCAGTCAGAAGACAGCGAGTCA